CAAGGTGCTGTACTCTCCCCACTTCTCTTTTTCTCTTTCTACATGACTCACCATCTTCAAATGACATTAATTTTGTCAAATATGCTGACGACCTGACAGTATCTTTGCCTGTCAAATGTCAAAGTGACTGCTCTAAACTTAATGGCTTTCTGTCAGAAATCAGCCGGTGGTCCAAGGAAAACGGTCTTACCTTAAACCCCTCCAAATGCCAAACAGTCAATTTCACCTTTAGGCATAAATCCGACCTAAACAAACTGGTTGGCTCTCACGAGGTATGCAACATAGATGGTACTGAAATAGAAACCAAATCGGAAATTAAATACCTAGGCGTCATTCTATCTGCTGATCTCTCCTGGTCGTCTCATATCTTGATGATTTCTAAGAAAATATTCCGTCTTACCTTCTACATCAAGAAGTTAAAACGTTCTGGTATAACTCAACCCTTACTCCTACAATTCGTTAATTCTCGCATTCTGCCTATTATTCTCTATTGTTCCCCTTTAGTTTTCCCGGGCCACTGAAGAAAGACTATAACATATTACGCAGGATGTTAAAGGTTGTCATCAGGGTAAGCAACGTGCCACTTAGCCAGCTTGTTAATATTCTGGTCGACAGGCACATGGACTCATGTGAAAAATGGGCCAAATCCATTTTATCTAACTCACACCACCCTCTTCACTCACAACTCTCCCCTTGCATCTCATCAGGTAAAACCAGAAGCCTATATAGAAAACTATATGCTCGCACCAGCAAGTACAAAAACTCAACCATACCCTACTTAGCTCGTGTTCTGTGTGATAAAGAAAGCATTAGGCGTGACACCTATAATTCATTAAATAGTCAGTAGTACAAATGGACCTCGTCTTTCCAACTCATATCATTTATAGGTACAACATTTTCTTTCTTTCTTTTCCTCTTCTCTCCCCCTCTTTTTTCCGTTATGTGCTGCTTTGTTTCTTTCTCTCGCTAACACCAGTAAATATGACAGCTCCCACTTTTCTAACACTTTCAAACACTGTTCAGCTTTTCCTTTGCTACCGACATGCCAATATGTTGTTGTCATAATGAACTGAGATTTCCTTAATCTATGTAGAATTCTATTTATTGATAATGTACTAACTAGATGCAATACTGTAGTAAAAATGCTGAGAATTCCATCTTGTATCACAAGTACTGTTTTGGAATAAAGCAAATTATTATTATTATTGCTAAAATAATTGCATACTTTCCTTCGTTTCTATGCGCATTCTGATTACTACTCATTCATTGAATTATTATTCACCTCATTAAGTAACTCCGAGACACTTATTCAACTCTTCTTATCCATTGAATAATATCAACACCTATGATGAAGACAACTCATCGCTTTCGTTATCACCCTCTCTCAAGAAAAATTGTAAATAATTTCAGCTGTACAGCCAGAGAGACTGAATCCGCCGAAAAGAGACTCTTCGCTGAACTACAAGTTTTGCTTGTATTATTTTGTATTAGTAGTACACAGTAAACGAAGTATCCAAACCTGAACAGAGTGTTCATCTCATTTAATATTTCACGATAACGATAACTTTGAAGTGTAAATTTGTTTGACTTGACTTTGTCCCTCCTATAGTAGAGATCATACCACATGTGAATTACAAGTTATAACATAAACAAAAAATGATTCATTTCAAAATTTCAAGTATTTCGAACTTTGCGATAAATTGTTGAACAATTCATTGAAACTTTATTTCATCTCTGACTTTTTTCAATGCAGTTTGTGAAGGATCGTGTGTATCACAAGTTGTACACTTACACATTGACATATTATAGAATCAAAACAGTAATTCTGTATATTATATTAGAATAGCGCTATTATGATCCGAAGTCCATCTTGAAAAGTTTAATGTAATGTAATTTGCTAATACTACCACATTAACAGATAACACGCTAAAACGATAATTCTGTTTATTAAATTAGAATCGCGTTACTAGAAGGCGAAGTTCATGTTGAAAAATGTGGTGTGTTTGTAAGTCACATCGTATAATTTGTTATCACAACTGTGTGTCGTTTCATTTACATGAAAATGTACTGTCGAAAGACCGAGCAAAATAATTATAATATGAGCTAATAATGCTGATAAGTGTATGGGGAATGAGAATTCACACTAATCTTAATGATGCAATCAGCGAAGACTCATTATAGTAGATAACCATTTCACAGTATTTCGAAGTGGCCGTGGTTCAGCACTAATTGATGTCATACATTAATGGCACTCAGCTGAAAATGTTTTTCAACTTTATATCACAAGAAAAGTTAGAAAATCGTGAAACATATTTTGAATAGTTTTAGGCATTCCTAAGATTGACTCCTATCGACAAAGAGTGTTTAGAAATGATTACTGAAGGATGACTGCCTGAGGGAGAGTGCTGCTCACAATAGGAATATGTTAGGAAGAAACACAGAGTTTTGAATTAAAAATAGACTTTCAGCAGATGAGATGAAAAAAATCACTGAAATCCTAATACGCCTTCTTTTCAGGTTAATCATTTAGGGAATGAGAATAATATCCATGTTGATACTGAAATTGTTCTGATACCACTGTGGGTAACAGAATTAAAACTCAACAGTATAAATTAATGAATAACAATCTAATTGAGATTACTACTTCTCTTCGACTTCTCCAGTCTCAATGTCAATCAATCAATGGGTACATCTCACTGGTGATAGGGTTTGATGGCACCGTTTCCTTCAACCACCGTCGTCAGAACAACTTCAGAATGTTTCCAGGTCACCTATTTTGTTTCTGGTCATGCATCTAGAAGACTGCAATTGTTTGCATCCTAATTAAAACAGGCTATATTATCTGTGTATTCTAGAGCAAATGGAATTTCTCCTGGTTACCGTCGTCAGTGCATTATTGTATTATTATTAACAATAATGGCTACATAGGACATCCATTGACGCCATCACAGTAGTCATCAGGTCGCCAGGTGATGCCTTCACCTCTGGTTATGCTCTAAATTAATGCCAGCCAGAGACAATGTTTAGCTAAACATGATTGTGAGAGATAGTCACTAATTGATTTACTTCGTGGGAAACTGAAGATATCCGCGATATGCATTCATGTTAAGCATATCAACCTTGGTTGAAAGATGTACTTAGACGCAAATAGACCACATTTGGTGTGTTTCTGAGAAATAATTTATACATCTCTCGAAAGACCTAATCTTTTACATCTCCCGAACTACAATCAATGATTTCGTATTGGTGGATTTCATAAATGTATCAGTGAGTTGAAGATGTTTCGTCATCCTCGCATACTTTACTGCAGAGATGGATGGCACCATTACACCAACAATGTACAGGGACTATTCAAATAATCTTTTGAAATCAGTGGAGTAAATCTTACAGATTGAGCATGTTAGCAAATTAGGATTTATTTGAATGTGTGAACAGTGAATTGTTTGCATTGCTGAACTACCTGAACTTTCATCCCACAAAATGCATACAATTTTCTATATTTCCCCTTAATTCAAACATTCAATTATGTCCCTGAGCTTCCGAATGCATTCACGCACAATTATAATTGGCTTTCAATCTACTCCTCAGTATCTTCCGGTGACGAAGGCAAAATACCATGAGGGATTATTTCATTCTTCAGATCGACCAGCACTGTGTCACATGCTGTACCTTAGATTGCTATTTTGCTGGAAGATGTTGCACGAAGAGGAAGCATTACGCGATAGACTATGCTACATATTCTGAATATTGTGTGAACATTTTGCACTCAATGAAGCTGTTATTGTTATTATGTTAGTCGGATGTCTCAGTGTCTGAAATACCAGAATTTCGACTTGTGAGACTTATTTGCCTATTTGGGATAATGTTCAGACCCCATCGCTTTTATTATCAGCTGTGAATAGTGAATTCATGAGACTCAGATCTATGTCTTGTTAAAAAAAAAAAAATTGTGATTATGAAAATGCGTTAATGGCTGCAATCTTGTGACTTCCCATGACACAAGCATTCATTTATTCATCTGGTTCTTGAGAGAGAAACATCACTAGTGTTGCTTGGATTCGGAGTACGGGAGACAGATACAAAAATTTGATAGTACACTGTTCCATTGTGACAGAATCAGGGGAATACTCGCCATTTAGTGGACTCTACCACTGAATACAGACACTAGAGATGATGACGGTATGTCTCCCAATCTTTTATATCGGCCGTTTTGAAAGCGCCACCAATATCATCTCATTTCTCATTAGTTGAGGGAAACGCCTTGCTGCGATTGGCTCTTTAACCCGATTGCAGAATCATTTCATATCCAGGCGGCGATAATAATCTCAGTAACTAACTTCTACTCGACCACCATGGCAGAATGCAAACATCTGCAGGAAACTACTTCTCAAACTTCTCATTCCAGCCTGATCTCCATGTGAAGATATCAAATATGTGTCCCAAGAGGAAGTGAAATCCAACTCCAGTTATTTATCACAGTTGAACAATACGAAAGCAAACATGGCATGTGCAAGCAAAGTGACTCCCGACAAAGCGAAATGCTTAGCAGATATCGCAGATGATGTCGTCTAGTGCATTCGATGTGTCGTATTCTGTTCAAACTATGAGCAAATGTTTTTGTTGGAAAACAAAAGGAACATTGAAACAGCATAAATGGGAATACTCAGAGTACTTTCTAATGTCTCGAAATTTGTCGGAAACAGTGAATAAGGAAGCAGCTTGAACTGCATTCGAATATCAAGAACACAAATATTAGTGAAGCTCATGAAATCGCAACCAGCACGACATGTACTTTGAATTACCTCAACGGAATCCTGTGTTTCGCTAATCGAAGACCGAACTGTGCATGCTGTTTATTACTTCCTATATGTTAATATAATCATCCAAGCTTGAAAGACTTCAGCAGATTTCAGTGCATACCATCTATAACTTCGTAAATTATCGATAAGCAAACTAAATACTCAGCAATTGATTTAAACAACTAAATGGCTTAATTACTGCAATCATCATTCTAGAATAATCAATGTTCATTTCTATCATGAAGTGGTCTTTATGTAAAGTTAGATTTCTAATATTCAAAGCAGTTAAACGAGGCTACTCCTCACAGTCATTACAATGTCACATATCAAAGACTAGGTTGAAAGATATATTTACCACATTTGTCCAGTTTCTAAAATATCTTGAAGGAGAAATCATTTGTGCAAATAAGAAGTCCTCAAATTACTTTGCAAACTGCAGTGGCTGATTTCGGCACAACAAGCCTCATCCATCGTTAACATCAGCCAATCTTATCTTCCTCTCACCGAAATCGAATACAGTGTAAAACTTCTTCATGAATACATCGCCAAGAACCCAAAATCCTGGATGTATGTTGTCATTACTCGCGATGGGTGACACGCATTGTGTGAAGAACAGGTTGGAATCCTGAAACCGAAAAATAAAATATCTTGTATGCACTGTTTCCACTTCGAAATCATGAAATGAAAAATCAGATTCAATGTGTCACAAGCTGAATCTACCTCGTCAATTAATTAAATCGTTTTAGAAACTACGGAATTATCAGTTACATCGACACAGCCAAAGATATAAGCTGTATTTTAATACTTCAAGTTTAACAGAAATATGTCAATTGAATTAGATGATTACATACATCCAAACAGCGTCAGAATGGGAGTGAAACATTTGTATGCAATTGTGAAGAATAGTCGAAGACCTAACACCTGGTCAAGATTGTTTGACCGTACATCATATAGCTGAATCTGGAGTTGATAAGAGGTTGAAAACTGTGGTAATTTACAATCGGCACAGATAGATGAAATAAATGACTGCGTTAGTGTGAACCTATTGGCACATTCAAAGTCAAGACCACACGTTCTAGTGGTCCTGATGGCGGAAGCATGCTTAGTGACCTTATGTTACAGCAATATCAATAGAAGATCATGTTTGATGTTGTTGGACAGAAAAGCAATCCAGAATAGGATTAAGTCCGAAAATGGAGTGAAGAAGCGAATATGCTACTTTAGATAATTTCCATTTTATCATGCATAAACAATGCGAAGAAAGCTGTTCATCTCCCATAGAACACGGATCTACTGTCTTAATGTGGGTTGTATAATCACAGTCAATATCCGTGCGGGCAGTCAGTAATTCGGAGACGATGATAGTGAGTGAGTGCACATATCATTTCGAAAGCGGTTATTACTAGTGCTGAGAAACCATCAAACGACGTTGTTAACCCAACGTAGAAAAATTGTAACGAATGACTAGGACTCAATCAGCACAAAATCACATCAGAATAAAACTAAATGGACAATGAGGAATTCACATTCATACATTGCTGCGAACAACAAAATTCATTGCACTTATGAGGATTTTAAATGCGTTGGATTCTCATACATGGAGTAAGAGTTTGCATTTGCGTGTCACATTCACAAAACGCCACAAAATTGAACTGGATACTCGTGCTTACCTTGACTATGTAATCCTTCGCCTCAAGCACATATTTCCTTCTCGTGAAGACAATCTCAATTGGAGGGAGCTTGTCAATATTACTGCAGTCGAATACATACTCTCCATCCCCACTCTCCGTGGCGCCAAGTCTGGAATTAATCTCATCCACCACTTCGTTGGATCCCAGTATCAAGGATGTCCCGGTATCTATCAGACTAATACATCTTGTATTGCAGTAGTCCACTCCATTTATCCTGAAGCTGAAGGTGTTTGCAAACATTTGAATTTAGTGATTGAATTCTATCACAAATATCGGTCAGACTATCAGTATGAAGTCCGCTTCATTAATTCCTTCTCGCTCAAGCACTAAGGCATATTTTTCTTTTCATTGCATTCAGTTATTCTGTATCACCAACAAAACACCTTTACTTTGTTTGAACGGTTAACGATAACAATAATCAGAACAATAATTGAAATGCTATCCACATATCAATTAGATATCCTCATTCAACATTGATACTACTATCATAGTTATAACACTATTGATCATAACAATAGTATTTTTGCCTTCTCTGTGATTTGAAAACCTAATGTTAGTGGTGATAATTGTGATCATTTATCATTCTAGATACCTATTGAAACACTGGTTATTATAAATATGGGTCTGAGATAAATATATCAGATAGGAAGGAGCCTGGCTACCAAGGTAGCTATCAACACAGATGAAACCAATGGAAGTTAATGTGGGCAGCTTGATCGTTAAAAGGAAGAATTAAAGGAAACCGTGAGCCAGTCACATTCAGAGGGCTGTCGAGTTGGCCGTCACTTGCAACGCGTCGAGAATTACCATCAAAAGCCGCATCATTCGTGGTGAACACCAGTCTTCCAATGAAATCAGAAGCATTGAGTAACTTAGAGCTTCTAACAGCCAGTAGATAAGGCAGCAGGAGCGCACAGTAGCACTGAGAACAGATCCACAGACATCAGAAATTATGGCGATGCCACAATTGCAGAAGGTTTGGAGAAGAAGAAAGTTACATATAGATTGGGAGGAGGGCTGAGTTGTCAAATTCCGAATCATTCCAGAAACACTGTGAGATAGTTTGCATGCCATAATCTACCCATAACGAGCTGAATCCAGATAAAGCAAATCAAATTCAAATAAAATTCCTGCGCTATGTATGATCATCGATAACAGCACAGAATGATAGTCTAACCTCTAATCATCTTCGTCTTTTGAAGGGCAAACTGTCGTCAACCCTATTCAGCAGCTATATGACAATGCCGCGTGTCAAGTGATCCACAACAGAGAACTGAGAGAAGCTTCTGGATTGAAGACAGAAGTGAGACAAGACTGCCTACTATCACCGATGATATTTGTGATAACCAATGAGAACACAAGCAAACGCCTTACCAATGAAAAGAGACCAGAAAATCTGGACTACGCAGATGTTTCGCTTTTACATAACACAACACGGCAGGCCACTGAATGGAAGGTGAATTTGGAGCGACGAGTTAAGTGTGTGTCTGAGGACGACACGGTAGTAGTCGCGTGAAGAGAGAAGGGGAGAATATTGTCAGTCGTAGAGCCAGAAAAATGAGACCACAGAGAACAGAGTTAAGTGTAAATATGCCTCTGAAGCTGCATGCCACTCGGAAACCAAGGGAATAATGGCAATAAGAGTAATAATTAAGGCTGATGGATCAACAACACAATACCATATATTCGATGCTCATGGATTACCCTAATTGACCACTCATTTGTGCTAATCTTATGGTTATAACCTTTTGCGAATTCATGGTTTCCATTACAGAAGTAATCTGTGGAAACTTAACATTATCGAAATCCAAATCGCTGGTGCTTTACTCATAAATCAAATTCACAATTTGCGAATTACTTTGCAATTTTCAAATTGTGAATTCGATTTATGGTATCACGAGTTCGCCCGAGTACCTAACCATAAAAGGGATGTATTGAACTGGTTCATCTCTCTAAGTTGAGTCGGGTCGGATGTACCACTGATGAGCGAATTCACAATCGAGAGAAAAAGCCTTCCGTCGTTCATCCCACCTCGATCTGGCTGGCGGGCAGGCACTACTGGCTGATTGATATGAGTTGTGTAAAACTGCTCATCGCAACCATGAGTATTATATGGCATGCCCCATCGCTTGTGGGGTATTCAGCACACACACATCAGTTAGAAGAAGACAACTACTTTGTTAATTAGCCTGAAATTAGAGTACATAGTTTAGGCAGACAAGTTCTTTCAACAGCTCCTCGTAAGACTACACTATCCCACATTAAAATTGTTTACCATCAACATTTTATGCCAGTATGAGTGAATTAAATGTTCATATTTCCGTTTGTCATACGAAACAGGTGCATATCGCCAGTAGGCGAAACAGGGGAAATTTTCGCTTTGCGAAAATGAAGAAAACAAAGATGACATAGTAGTTGAAGGAACATATTCTTCTCTGAATAGATCTGTTTCTTTACTCGTGAATAGATTTCTTGTTTCTCATCTAGACCCAATTGAATACTTGGTTGTACAGCTACAAAATGCAATTACCTGAAGAAATTCTTTGCCGAAATCTTCATCCCCTTTCGACCTACCAGAATTTACGCACATTAACAACAGAACACATTCATTCAAATTGAACAGGACACTAATTAACTACCTTTTCATTCCAACAGCCCATTTATTTTCGAGAAGGACGGGTAAGACTTCAAAATCTCCGGTAAAATACTCAGTGTTGACACCACCGAGTACCATCTCTCCACCGACAACAGCACCATCTTTCCTATGCAATGTACAAATGAAATTGATTTAGGACGCATCGAGTACTAAATTGATATTCGTATTCATCAATGAATAAAAGTGATCATGGTGATGTGGGCTATCCTCATGACACATTGGAGTTAACATACAAAGTAGATTGGCCGATAAGATTGATAATTGTTCGCCTTGTATTTGACTTCAACATTCTATCCGTATTCGCAGGCCAGGTGGAAACTAACGACAGACGAGAATGTATCCTCGCGTAAACTCAGTACATCACATTGGAGATACAAAAGGTCCTCTCTTCTTCTGATGTAACAAGGCAACTAACTATTTTGAAACGAGAAGTCGTAAATGGGCTTTAACACTCCATAGAACACCAGAACTGGTCAACTTTCTTAATTTGGATTTCACTTGGTATGTACAGTATGTCAAGTGAAATGGTATATCGAAATGGATGTTTGCATAAAAATGAAATATCCACCCAAGGAAAGATTATCCATGCATTTGAACTCGAGTTTCTGAGATCTGATAAATAGTCATGCACTAGGAATGTAATTCCTGCATGAAAATGCGCAGCGAAATTCAGTTGCAATGAACTAGTTAAGCATGTTAGTTTAGATTCATCACATGTTGATGGAGTTCGAATACTGCTACTGAGAATTATCAGTTTCATTTGGATCTCGTATATTCTCTCGGACCAGCCACGTTCTCGTGAGATAAGTGGTAAAAGTGTAAATAAATCATTTTCATAACAATATATAATTACTTCCATACAACTAATTATACTCCACATGTATACATACCCGTTCAAATAGAATGAAAATATTGGATCCATCTTCACTCCTTGAGCGAGTATATTTGGAAAGACAGGAATATTCCCGTATTCGGATAACTTTTCACATGACATACCAATTGTTCCATCATATTTACTGCCAAAGAAACTGGTGGAAAATATATCAGTGACTTCTGCAAACGCCTGATTGCGAATAACTAAAGAGTTTATCTAAAATCACTGTCGCTTCGAGTCATACGAACACATTACCTGTATTGTATCCATGCTCCAAAATCCATAGAAAGTACTGTCCATATAATCGACTTCAAAACTCGTGCCATTCCGCTGATAAGTAGATGACTTCGAACTGTCATAAAATCGAATGAACCAACAGGGAATGTCCAGAAACCAACATTTTCTTGATGGAAACCAGGTGTCGGTTGATCCTGTGTCGAAGAGTACACGAAACGTTTGTGGTGGAGTTCCTACAAGCACTTCTCCGTAGTACTGAATCTTAAAAGAACATTATGATTATAACGTGACTAAATACCATCGTGCCCATTAGAAAAAGGCAAATATTTGCGAAATGAAAGGGGTTGAGAGGAAGTTGGAGTCGTTCTGTCATTCGTGGATAAAGTGAGAGAAGCTAAATTTGTTCTATCCAATTATTTTTCATAAAATAGTCAGTCACTCAAAATGTACCACAGCTCCACCATTACATCCAATACGTTTTTAGTTACAGTGACTATCGTCTAACGCGGTAAACGAGACTGTAACTGCTCTTCATAAATATTCAGTGGGACATTCACTATCTTTCAAAAGTGTAGTGTCATATGACATTTGGTGCTTAGAAGCACACTAACTATAAATGTTCAGTATTTCATCGTCTACATTCCACTGAACACTATCCAATTTACTAGATTGCTTTGTGGATGTATCCAAAAGTACGGCAAAGGGAGGGGTGAGGAAACGAAACATCCAACTGTTGGGAGAAGAGAGTGTTCATTTGTCTCCCGTTCAGAGGAGAAGCAGTATCACAAATGATTGACAAGAGAAGGAAAGGGGGAATGAAAATGCATCCTTCGGGCAGCTAAGCTGCTATCGCTATTCAGCACCGTAAGCCAATCCAAACTCGATTTCTATAAGGTTTTTAGAGATTATTCTAACAGACGTTTGCCTTGACTAAGGCAAGTATTCAGAGGTTCGATCATCAGACGCCTTGTGGATTCGGTTCATTTCGTCCAAATTTCCAAATCCTTCATAATAATAAGCATAGAAAGGACAACAAATTTAGTACGATTTGCTGAAGCGATTGCATCAAGCGTTTGCAATCAGTTTTAAGCAAACAGAAAAAAGAGAGTGTAATCGACCTGTCACTCTCTCGCTTACTGCATTCTGATTGCCTTGATTGGTCATTCATGTTAGTGGTTTCAGCTCACTGATCAAGTTTCCAATTTTATGAACTATTATCTTCTTAAGTTACTATTTAGACCTACAAGCCAACACTGCATATTAGAATTTTCTGCTTTCTATCTTCTTCCCCACCCCTGAACCACCTACTTTTCTATTTTGAAAGCGTATAAACTGATGGTAACTTAAACTAAAGCCAATTAAAATGCTTACATTTGTAGGATGCGTTGATTTTAGGATGTTTTCTCTACTACCATTCAAACAGTGAAGTTCTTGTTATTGTCATTATTCATCAACACTGCGATTTCAGAGAGATTTCTGCTAATAAATACCTGTGAAGTAGAATGATGACATAATTTCATACTACGAATCTCGTCTCTCCTACATTCTTTATCGAAATTTATCAAGGAAACCAAATGTATGAAAAGTGACATTTAACCTGTCACACTTACATTTTGATAATTGTACAGGTGTTCTGATGTTGGTGTAGCTCCGCCATTCAGTAAATTTGCCCAGCTTCTTTGTAATAGCCTGAACAGTTTTCGATACGGATTTAGCATTGAACTAATTCCAGTCACTGGGTGCAATGGTATTTTGATAATCTCAGCACTAACTGGATATAAACAGATGAGAAATATGATCAGGTTCATTGCAGTGAATATTATAAGGAGAATCAAAATCGTCGACGATGTCTTTCTATTTAAATATACACACTTTTATATATATTGACATGCTCATGATGATGAAATTTCTGATTGGTGATAACTGTGGTTTTGTTTGTTGTAGCTATATTATTACAAGATCCTCCATAAATCATGGCATATATAAGCATGCTTCATTAATAACAAAATATATTTACAATATACGTATGACTGACTTGTTTGAAAAGATATTTACTTTGCATAATTCCGAAATTCCCTCTGAATATTTTTAAAAATGTATATTTGTGCGAACACTGGGAACCAACTCAGCCCTTCCGTACTCACGGGTTTTCCAATGGTTCTCTAACTGGTGTGAGCTCATGATGAAACTCTACAAAGAATTCTTCATTTATTGAGAGATGACGATCTCTGCTTGTTGGTGTAAAATCAACAATTGTACGATGTAGATCACAATAATAACCTTTATTAAAATTGTCAATTCATCTAAGCGGTAAAACGTTAATATGGTGATAAATGAACGAAATAAATATAAACGATATATCTAGTGTTTGTTGGTAATGTATGTTGGTAATGCTTCAACACCGCATCTCCACTTCATTCTTTCCTACAAATCTTCTTTGACTGGCTCCATATCTAACTATATGTGTGAACAGATATTTCCAATAAATTCGTCTTCATGCTCTTCAGTAAGAAATTAGTGAATATTTTCATGCAATAGCGGGTGAAGTCCTAATTGCAGTTAAGTGAGGGAATGTAATAAACTAGATAAAATTGACTGTTTGTGTAATATGAGATTGAATGACATGCTGTCACTTTTGATAATGAATGCTGTCCCGTGTGCTGAGTGTAGTTGACCTCCACATTGATATGAATGCAACAAACACATGTCTTGCTTTCTCATTTCGATCATGCTTAGTCTTGCCATCATCCACCATGTGCCCTTTGGTTGAACTGACACTGTTCAGTTCAGGTAAGTTTAAGAGATGACTTTGTCTACATTTCTCTCATAGATGGTGACTAGTGCTTCATGTTTTCGATTGGTTATCTTCATTCCCACTGACCTCTGTGTTCACTTGAAGGCCTGTATTTATTGATGGTTCAGCTAATCTGTTGGTTCGCACTTGAATTATGGAACTCTGATATTTCCTTCAACAATCGTATTTGAGCTTCATCAGGAATACTATCACAATTAAAATCCGATGTGTAGCTCCAGACGGACTTTTACTCAAAATCTAATGATTTCTTATTTTCAACGAAATCTTATATTTTATAGTAGGAGTTTCTTCCATTTCACCATATTAACCAAGTATTACATTGGATAATGAACACATATCATGATAAGGAATTAGTAAAATTCTTATACTTGCAAAATGAAGAATGAAGCATTCAAGTTGACTTCGATAATCACTTCACTATAAACAGAAGTGCACGTTTCATGTTCTCAACCCGCTATTCATAATCGCCGGCAAATGGACGAGGGAATAGATGTCCTGGATATGCAATAAGAGGTGGTTACGAGTGGATCATTGAAGACAGATTCTGATGCAAATTCATATGAACTATATCCGCTGATGAAAAATAATTTCCTGTGAACCGAAACTATTGATCGAACACAGGTTAGTAAGTAGTGTCATGTGTCTAGTCCTCTATTTGGTGCAGGCTGGATTCTATCAGTCACGTTTGCAATGTGGCCATCATTCTAGGTGGCTAGCCATCACCTTGAATCTCAGAAGGGACATGAGTTCCTTCACGGTTGCAGATAGACTTAATTGACGATTGTCAACTAGTACGAAACCTAGGTCGAAGTCTTTCTTCCCACTGCCTCAATTATCTAATGCCAACGAATCGAAACTATGGAATGATGATCAATGCAAATGCACTTCCAATAATTAATCCTAGCTTTCAAATAATGTTTCTAGAAATACACCAGTGAAAACCAACAGTTGAGCAGAAGAAGCAGCAAAGACTGCACTTCAAATGAATATAGAAAAATTGGAGGTGATATAGATAATCAACCGACAACAATAAGCACCAATCACTGTCGACGGAAGAAGTTCGAAAGAGGTCACTTCGTTCACTTATCTAGGAAGCATCGTTTCAACAACAGACGGCACTGATGAGGGTGTCGAAGGCAGGATCGATAAATGCAGATTGGTATTCATTAGTCGGAAATCGATTTGGAAATCTACTGTATTCGGAATAAGGAGCGAGATCCGGTTTTTGAGCCTCAGTGTTAAGTCACTTCTTTTATTTATTTCAGAAACTTTGAACGCCACTAAACGAATTCCCGATGGGGTCAAGAGACACCAACAGAAGCCTTTGCTTCATAAAGATGATCGGATGTCCGATCAGAAATGATAAGTAACTGGGAACTCTAAGAAGGAACCAACCAAGAAGCCATTGGCCAACAAACATGCTGAAGGAAATGTAGATGCATCGGACAAACTCTGAGACGACCGCTGAGTGCCATTTCACACCAGGCCCTCGAATGGAAGATGAATGGGAAATAACAGGTTGGAAGTGAGTCGGAGAGTGACATGGGGGAGGTCATGAGAGAATCAGATGACACATATAGTTAGATATGGAGCCAGTCAAAGAAGATTTGTAGGAAAGAATGAAGTGGAGATGCGGTGTTGAAGCATTACCAACATACATTACCAACAAACACTAGATATATCGTTTATATTTATTTCGTTCATTTATCACCATATTAACGTTTTACCGCTTAGATGAATTGACAATTTTAATAAAGGTTATTATTGTGATCTACATCGTACAATTGTTGATTTTACACCAACAAGCAGAGATCGTCATCTCTCAATAAATGAAGAATTCTTTGTAGAGTTTCATCATGAGCTGACATCAGTTAGAGAACCATTGGAAAACCCGTGAGTACGGAAGGGCTGAGTTGGTTCCCAGTGTTCGCACAAATATACATTTTTAAAAATATTCAGAGGGAATTTCGGAATTATGCAAAGTAAATATCTTTTCAAACAAGTCAGTCATACGTATATTGTAAATATATTTTGTTATTAATGAAGCATGCTTATATATGCCATGATTTATGGAGGATCTTGTAATAATATAGCTACAACAAACAAAACCACAGTTATCACCAATCAGAAATTTCATCATCATGAGCATGTCAATATATATAAAAGTGTGTATATTTAAATAGAAAGACATCGTCGACGATTTTGATTCTCCTTATAATATTCACTGCAATGAACCTGATCATATTTCTCATCTGTTTATATCCAGTTAGTGCTGAGATTATCAAAATACCATTGCACCCAGTGACTGGAATTAGTTCAATGCTAAATCCGTATCGAAAACTGTTCAGGCTATTACAAAGAAGCTGGGCAAATTTACTGAATGGCGGAGCTACACCAACATCAGAACACCTGTACAATTATCAAAATGTAAGTGTGACAGGTTAAATGTCACTTTTCATACATTTGGTTTCCTTGATAAATTTCGATAAAGAATGTAGGAGAGACGAGATTCGTAGTATGAAATTATGTCATCATTCTACTTCACAGGTATTTATTAGCAGAAATCTCTCTGAAATCGCAGTGTTGATGAATAATGACAATAACAAGAACTTCACTGTTTGAATGGTAGTAGAGAAAACATCCTAAAATCAACGCATCCTACAAATGTAAGCATTTTAATTGGCTTTAGTTTAAGTTACCATCAGTTTATACGCTTTCAAAATAGAAAAGTAGGTGGTTCAGGGGTGGGGAAGAAGATAGAAAGCAGAAAATTCTAATATGCAGTGTTGGCTTGTAGGTCTAAATAGTAACTTAAGAAGATAATAGTTCATAAAATTGGAAACTTGATCAGTGAGCTGAAACCACTAACATGAATGACCAATCAAGGCAATCAGAATGCAGTAAGCGAGAGAGTGACAGGTCGATTACACTCTCTTTTTTCTGTTTGCTTAAAACTGATTGCAAACGCTTGATGCAATCGCTTCAGCAAATCGTACTAAATTTGTTGTCCTTTCTATGCTTATTATTATGAAGGATTTGGAAATTTGGACGAAATGAACCGAATCCACAAGGCGTCTGATGATCGAACCTCTGAATACTTGCCTTAGTCAAGGCAAACGTCTGTTAGAATAATCTCTAAAAACCTTATAGAAATCGAGTTTGGATTGGCTTACGGTGCTGAATAGCGATAGCAGCTTAGCTGCCCGAAGGATGCATTTTCATTCCCCCTTCCCTTCTCTTGTCAATCATTTGTGATACTGCTTCTCCTCTGAACGGGAGACAAATGAACACTCTCTTCTCCCA